GGTCCCCATTTTACAGATGAGGAAATTAATACAGAAGTAGCTGTACGCATCACAAAACTAGTACATGGCAGGGCCTAAATTCAAACTCTTCTTCTGTTAAGTATCCACATCCTGCCCTTCCTCAGAATAGTTGGCACACTAAGGTTCTAGGTAAGTGCTTTAAAATGAATGAACTCAGTTGGAAATTGTGTTCAGAACTCATGAAGTATCTGAGTGTACATCACCTGTTCACGTACATACAGAAAGAGGACAGAAAGAACATGACCTGGGTCATTTGGGTGTAACTTACTCATTTTTAAACAGGTTTTTATTGAGTAGTGCTAGGCACTGGCTAGGTACAAGCTGTTCTAACATTTGTGGCTCTTGCTTTCATGGAGCTTTCAAGATAAAATATAAAGATCAGGAAGGAAAAGAGGAACTTGTGAAAATAAAAACAGCGTATTTGGAGAGGAAGTAGAGGTAGAGAATCCAAATAAACTAGGACCCTAAATCATGATAAGGTCAACGTAGAGAGGAAGAAGGATTTCATTTAGACTTGTTGCTGGAAGAGACCTCACGACTGCCACCCCACTTGTAGGAACCATGGAAAGTAGAGCCCAGAGCAATGATTCCTCCCACAAGATCAGCCATTGGCTACCATTTATCGAATGCCTGTAGTGTGAGGTACTTTACATTATATCAACTGTTTACTTTTAGTAACAACCTCTGGGTTGTTAAGAAATAATAATTAAGAAATGTTAATAATTATTAGAAATTATTACTATCATTTTTATTTCTCATACCTGGAAAAGTAGTATTATTATCGCAATTATGGAAACTGAGGTGCAAGAGGAGTTTAGTACTTTGCCCAGGTCACACAGCTGGTAAGTGAAAGAGCCTGGATTCATGTTAAGGACACGTGATTCCAAAACTGACTCCGAACATATCCGCTCACTTTTTTTTTTTAAACACTTTTTTTTTTAAAGATTTATTTATTTATTTATCTATTTGAGACAGAGAAAGAGAGAGAGAGAGCGAGCACATGAGAGGGGGGAGGGTCAGAGGGAGAAGCAGACTCCCTGCCGAGCAGGGAGCCCGATGCGAGACTCGATCCCGGGACTCCAGCATCATGACCTGAGCCGAAGGCAGTCGCTTAACCAACTGAGCCACCCAGGCGCCCTCCACTCACTTTTTGAAGTCATTTGCCCCAGCCCTGTCGGCATATCCTACAGTAAAGCACCAAGCCTGTGTCCTAGTAAATAGCTGCTCAGCAGCTTCTGTGTTACATCTGTGTTCATCTCAACATCTGTATTTTATGGGGAAGTGTTGCTAAGATTTCAGACCTGGTTATGCTCCTTTGCCTGCTCTGTCTCCCCTTCATGCTGCCTTTTCTGCTTCCCCAATTTTCACGCCCTATCTGGTATGCAAGTGAGTAGTGTGGAAAAATTGAGCACCAAGACAAGTTACTGTCTGCTTCCCACCCACCCATTCCTCCCTCTCCTCCTCCCCTTCCACAGTCATCCGCTTCCCAAATGGAGCTGGCAAACGGGATGAGAACAGATCGGTCATCTTGCCAGAGACTCTGGTTCTTTCTCCTGGCAGTGCCTTGAAATCAGAGCTGTGATGCCCTTCAGGGGGTGCCTCTGTTTAAATTCCAAGGGATTCGTTTTCCAAAACCAAGCTTCACATCTCTCAGGGAACTTTCCTCTCCTTTTAATGGTCATACAGGCATTCAAGTGTGTTGGCATTCCCCACTTCTCCCAAAGAACAGACCCCATTTTGTTGGAGTTTTAATAGTTTTTCCTTCTGTGTTAGAGGTGTATTTACCTTTTTTAATTTATGTGTTTCCTTTGTGTCAGTGTTATATATTTGGTGTGTTTTAGTCCACGTACCTTCTGAAATCATAGTGTTTGGGGCGGACTCTTGCTTATTATATGACCCACATGTGATTGTCAAGGATAAAGAACTTCCAGCGTTTTTGTCTCAGAGAAGAGTTAGAAGTAATAAACTCTAGCGTTCCCCACAGCTCCAGTTTCCAGAGTCTATAAAATGATGATGCGTACCTCGGACTCAGAGTCAGAGGGCGTGAGGATGGGCCATGGGCCTCCACGATCCGGTGTTCGGAAGCCAGACCTTGAACATCATAACATCATTCGCTTTTCCCTCCCTTCCTTTCTTCCTTTCTTTTTTTGACTGGTAAAGCGAATGATTAGGCATCATTCACTATTTTTAACCCTACAATTTGATCATCTGTAAAACAAGGATAACTGTATCTGGCCTGGGGGTTGTTGTAAGGCTCAGATGAGATATTACGTGTACAGCCTGGTGCCTGACACTTAGTAAGTGCTCAGTAAAGCTTTCACACACATTACAGTACCTCAAAAACTCTTGTTTTTGTATCGTTTTCATTTAAAGTGGTGTTTTTCAAGCATAAGAGAGTACTGTGTTGGGAGGAGTAAATGAGTGGGCTGGGGTGGTGATGGCAGAGAGACTGAGCACCTTTGGGATCAACTGTGACTGAAGCACAGGGCTACTTACTGACTTCATTTCCGTAAAGGTCAGGAAGATGTAAATAAGCTTTGAGGTAGAAAACTAAAAGGGGTTCCTACCCATGTGATGAGATGCTAGGGTACCAGTGCTAAAATCTAGGTATGTTCCTGAGACTGCAACTTAAAGTCAAAGCGTGAGGTCATGGAAACACAGTCAGCCTTTCTTATTGTGTCTCCTGGCTGTGAAATCTAATTATGGCCTGTTGTGGACATTTTGGCTTTAATATCCTGATTACATTAGGACTCCTGGAATCCCATTCAGTCTCTCTGAGTTCCCATCCCATGTGTATTCCATGTGTTTGTGTACATTTCCTGTCCCACACTGTTACATCTGGCAGACAGCTGCTGTCCTCTCCGTGGTGATGGGCGTCCATCAGTGATAAGGGTGAGGCTGTTGGGGGCCCTGGGACTCCCCGAGGATGGGAGGGTGAGCGGCCAGAAGAGCAGTGGGACATTTCGTGTCCAGCCAGCTCCTGGAGACACGAAGTTTAGTCCTGGCCTTTTCACGTAATAACATACAAACGTGCAGGTAATTAATGCCACTGAAGTGTGCACTTAAAAGTGGTTAGAATGCAGGTTTCATGTTATATTTTACCACAGTTTTAAAAAATTTGCGTAATATACCCAAAACCATTTTTTGCTTTCAATGAGTAGATTGTATATTATATGCATTATATCACAAAAAAGCTGTTTAAAAATATAAAAATGTTTTAACAATCTTATTATCAGTACAAAAATATTTTTGCTTGTATCACTGCATTGAAATTTACTTAATGTTTTAATGGTAGCAAAGAAATGGAATTTCCTTCATGACTTTTTAAACACGATTTTGAGAACATTCCAAACTTACAGAGAAGTTGCAAGAACGTACCGTGAAGTCACGCCTAGAATTCATCGCGTGGATTTATGCAGTTTATATATTCACACTCTTTATTCCCCGTGTCAGAAGTGATGTGCTTTGATAGGTTTTATTTTGTTTTGCTTTTTGTCTTTTTTTTTTTTCAGATTCAGTGTGCTAATTACTTATTGTGCCCTTTCAATCTGAAAATTCATGTCTCTTCTATCTTCTGTCCCAAGAATTTATTTAATTTCTTTGATAGTCTTGTTTCTTCTATATTCTGTTTTCTTTTTCAGGAACCTCCTATTAGATTGATGTTGGACCTCTTGGATTTTCTCATCTTTTCTGAGCTGTTTTTCATCTTTACCTTTTTGTTCATTGGACTGGAATATGTTACCTTTTTCTTTTAATCCTGCTTTTTTTTTTTTTTTAAAGTTAAGCTATCCTGTTTTTAATGTCCAAGAAGTCTTTCCCGTTCTTTGATAGATCTTTTTAAATAAAAAGTTTATTCTTATTTCATGGATGAAAAATTCTCTTCCTGAGGATATAGTTTGTTGATGTTGTTTTAATTTCCTTCTGCTCCTTCTGTTGTCTCTGTTTCGTCTGAGTTCCTGCTTTTCTATTTGTTCGTTTGGTTTCTGTCATTATGCTGAAGATGTTCTTGAAATGACTGTGATTCTAGGATCTGTTCATGATTACTAGGGAAGCACTGAAAACTTGGTTGGAAAGCAGCTCTGGGTGTGAGGACAAGCCTCCTGCCTGGAAGGCGTCACAGTCAGATGGCAGAGGGGCAAGCTAGCCACATGGCTGCCAGTGTTTGGGGACTTGGAGGGGAAGAAGGCCGGGCGGCTCATCATTCCCAGTATAGACTTTGCCCTGCATTTTCCTCTCTGCTGTGGCCATGTTTCCATGCCTAGAGCCTCAGTTCCCCAGAGAATAGACCTCCCTCCTGCAGGGGTGGACAACAAGAGGAGTTTTCTGGCTGAGTGGCTGGATGAAGGGGAGGTTTGTAGATCTGGGTCTCTTTTGCTCCTTATCCATATTTTTAACCAGTCTTCCTGTTTTCAACCCTGCCCCTCCTCTTACCCCATAAGGTTCCCACTGAGCTTATTTCTGAGCCTTTGTGGGGTTCTGTGGTTTGGACTTGTTGCCTTTGTTGGCCCCCTCTGTGTGGTTCCTTAGCTTTCACCCTCATTCTACTGCTCTGCTGCCACTTCTCTGGTCCCTCCCAGTGTTTCTGAAGCCTGTCGATACTGCTCATCCTCTGTGGTGTCTTCTCTCATTTCACTGTCATTGTCCATTTGTATTTTGTATCTACTGTCACTCGAGTGGGCTTGAGGAGAGAATGGAGATCAGTGTACGTGTTTAATCTGCTGTGTTTAACTGGAAATCTCTTGTCATCTACAAAAATGCTCTGCTCCTGTTTCAGTGGCCTCACAGCTCAAGTTAATTAAAGAGAGTCAATACAAATTTTGGGGAAGGGAAGACTTTGAATAGTTGCTTTAGCTCTTGGGTTGGTCATGGTGAAAGCCACCAAATGTCCCATGTTCTTGTTTATTGACAACGTTGGAAAAGAGATCGGCCCCATTGTTACTAGACCCTTCGCTGACCCACGTTCATCTGTTGCCTTGCAGAAATGGAGCAGCGTGAGCAACCCCCTCTTCCTCCCGCTGATCCCACCGCAGTCACAAGGTTTCACTGCCATCGTCCTCACCTACGACCGAGTGGAGAGCCTCTTCCGGGTCATCACTGAGGTGTCCAAGGTGCCCAGTCTATCCAAGCTGCTAGTTGTCTGGAATAATCAGAATAAAAATCCTCCAGAAGGTGAGAAGAGTGGGAAAATGGTGTGTTCAGGAAAGGCCTGGTTTGGGTGTTAGCGCAACTCTCAGCTGGATCGATTTTGGATGGCCAAATTATTTGCGTCCTTAGGTTTAAATGAGTTGTCCTGCTTTGTCAACGACAATGCCATTTCTGAGGCAGCGTGACCCCAGTTTTCTCAGTCATCTCATTCTTATTCTGGGGTGGCCCATTTAACTCCAAGCCCATGGCATGCACTATAGCCACAAATGTTTGGGAGCTTAGGAACCAGTGGGATCAAAGGCCAGGAGCCTTGGGAAAACAGATCTCAGCTTCCCTCAGCCATCACAGCTGATTTGTTTACATGAAAACTCAGTTTAAAAGGCATTAGTTTTCTCCTTCCTTATCTGGGCTCTGATACTGCACTTTTCTTCAGGAAAAACAAAAAAAAAAAGGATGGCTTCACTTTCAATTGGGAAAGTCAGCAGAGCATGCCCTCTTCAGGCTTCGAATCAGTTCCTTAAAGTGAGCGCTCACTCAGGTTCCCATTGGTTCCTCTGTAATCGCTTTGTCCCTTGCCTTGCCCACCCCCCCCCCATAAGCTGCTGGCTGGCGCTGGCAGCGAGAGTTGAGGACTGTTTGATTAATTGGATTTGTGTTTCATTCAGGACGCAGAGAGTATGTTCCACCTGCATTTAGTTTCTCATTCAGTCTGTCTATTACTGATCCTAATCCCAGGGACTTCAAAGCTCCTGCCCTTTATAGCCTATTAAAGCCAGGAAGTTTCTGATGGATTAGAGCAAGGAATGAGTTTGAAGTTTGTCATGTGCACCACTATCACCGATAAGGGCTAGTTTATTGCCTGACAGTAGTATCTGCACTTTTTTAGGACTATTCCCTTTTAATTGGTAATACTGAAGTCAGGACAGTCAGTCTTGGAAACTACCAGTAGTAGATCTCTGGGCTGGAAGAAGAACGTTTTCTGTCTGTTAGGCAAAGCAGAATTTGTCCCAAGAAAATTCTGTAGTTCCTCTTGAGACATTTAAGAAATCTTCCTTAGTGAGATTTTTGTTCTCTGAGAGAATCATGTGCATTCTCTCTATTTAGGGGAGCCATAGTTTAAGTAAACAAAATGGCTACTTTAAACGAAGGCCCTGTTTTATGCTCCAGAGAGCAGTGCTTTTTCTTATTAACTGTCTCTTTATGCCAAGTTTGTTTTCCTCCCAACGTCTAGTTCTCTGGATTTTTGTCTGTTTGTTTGTTTCATTTATTTGACTCTCAAAAAGGGAGAAAGAAAAGAGTGGAATGAAAGTAAGGAACACCGGGAGAAGGAAGAACTGGACAGGAAGGAGGGGAAAGGCAGAGGTAAATAAACAGGAGCTGTGCGGGGAGGGCCACGGAGAGGGCCGCGGCCGGTGCCTTGCCCCGAGGGAAGTGGGTCGGACGGTCGGGCGCTGCTTGTTAGTCTCTCACTTAAAACGGATGAATGACGTCGTGAGAAGGAAGGCCGTGTACCCCTCCTCGGATCTGGGGTAGCCCGCTGCATGGCGCCGTGTTCACACTCATGCGTTTGTTCCACGCCCAGAGGCCGCCAGTTGTCACAGGGAGCCTGTCAGCACCCTACCCGCCCAGAGAGGCACAGCTCAGTGCAAAAGAGGCCTCTCCTTCCTTACGAACCCTGGCTAGCCACTTTGGGCTTAAGATGAATGATTTATTGGGACTTGGAGTCACTTCTTTGGGGCAGGTATCATCGCGGATGGTGAGAAGGAAGGAATCGTTTTCTGCTGTCTTGGTCAAAGCGCTGACACTGGGGTGACAGGAGGCACGAGCATGAACCTCTTTTGGAGCTGGGTGTTCAGGTTTAGTTTCTGGTAGACCCTGCTAAAATGTAGTGGTTAATTCTATGACCAGGAGCTTAGTTTATTTTTGAAATATTTTGGCTCTAGGGAGGAAAGCGAGCCCTCAACTGACGAGGCCCCAGTTTTGACACGTTTAGAGACCGAACCAGCTTTTTTTTTCTAGCAGTGGTTTTGAGGTCTCAGCTCGGGCTCTGGCGATGTGGTTGTTTGGGGGGAGCATGAACCATGTTTACACCTCTGTGGGGTGTTTGTTCAGTTGGTAAATGGGGCCGTTGGCTCTGGCCCTCATGCCAGCAAAGTCATCTCTGAATCTGTATGTATGGCATTAGTAGCATATATATTTTTTAAAAAAGTAAGTCCAAGGCTTTGAAATATTAGAGGCAAAAGTGATGTTTTTCACTTTCTCTACATTTGCTAAAATAAATATTGTGGTGAACATGTCTGCTGCTGGGAGGGTTAATGCAGGCA